AAAACTCTTGGAGTTTTAGCCATATCTTTGAAAATAAATACAGCCTTTTCACCGTGTCGTTTAACTTTTGGTTGAAATTGTGTAATTATCCGTTGGATTTGTCCAACGATGTCTTCAGGATGCCTTTCTTCTTTATTTTCTGTAAGAAATTGTCCTGGTAGTCGAAAAGTCTCTCCATAAACAAGCTCTGCTGGTGTAGTTTTGAGATCCTCCTTCCAGCAAGCTCTGATTCCTAACAAAATTATAGGTAAAATTTCAGTCCACGCTTCTGTTTGATGACACTTAATTGCTGCTTTAAGTTGTCGATGAAGACGCTCTACTAGTCCGTTAGCTGCAGGATGATAAGCTGTCGTCCTTATGTGAGCTGTGCCAGTTAATTGAGTTAACTTTTTAAATAGTTCAGACTCAAATTGCCGGCCTTGATCTGTAGTTATCCTAGCTGGTGTTCCAAACCTTGCAATCCAGTTTGCGAAAAGCTCTTTAACTACTGTTTCTGCTGAGATGTTCTCTATCGGAATTGCTTCTGGCCATCTGGTAAACCGATCTACAATAGTGAGACAGTATTTGTATCCATTTGAAATTGGAAGTGGACCAACAATATCTAGATGTATATGCTCGAATCTTTTTGAGGGAACAATGAAGTTTCCTAATGATGCTGCATTGTGTCTTGAAATCTTTGATTGTTGACACTGGATGCATGTCCTAGCCCATTTTCGACAATCTTGTTCAATGTGTGGCCATATAAATCGCTGAGTTACCATTTTAACCGATGTCTTGATTCCCGGGTGTGACAAACCATGCAGGGACTTGAAAACCTGCTTCCGAAATGATTTTGTCACGAAGGGTCGTGTTATCGGTGTTGAGGTCTCGCAATAGAGTTTCCTGGTTGATCCTGGGATTAGAACTTGAGTTAGCTTTAACCCTCTGTTAGCTTTAATTATCTCTTGTATTTCTTGATCACTTTCTTGATCTTTTGCAAGATCTTCAAAATTTATTGCTTCATGAATGGCTTCAATTCTTGATAATGTGTCAGCTACAATATTTTCTTTTCCAGAAACATGGCGAATGTCAGATGAGAACTGGCCAATGTATTCAAGGTGTCGAGTTTGTCTTGGTGAGCTTCGTAAGGGATCTTGATTGAATGCATAAATCAATGGTTTGTGGTCCGTGTAAATGGTGAATTCTCTTCCTTCAAGAAGATGTCGAAAATGTTTGACTGCTATGTAGATCGCAAGAAGTTCTCTGTCAAATGGGCTGTACTTTATTTGTGCATTACTAAGTTTTTTACTAAGGAACGCCAAAGGTTGCCATTCTTCTTCGACACGCTGATGAATTACTGCTCCAATTGCTGTATCTGATGCGTCTGTCGTTAAAGTTATTTCAGTCTTTGTGTTAGGATGTGCCAAGATTGTTGCTCTGGACAAACTATTTTTGCAGTTTAAGAAAGCCTGCTCCATATCCGTAGTCCAGTCTACAGGCTTCTTTCCTTTATTTTTAGGTCCTTTGAGAGCATCATTTAGACGAGCTTGGTCTTTGGCTGCCCCTGGAATGAATCTTCTATAGAAATTTAGCATTCCAAGGAATTGTCGTAACTGCTTGACTGTATCTGGTTTTGGAAAGTTTTGAATGGCTTCAACTTTTTCTGGCAAAGGTTGCGTTCCGTCTTCGGTTACAAGGTATCCAAGGAATTTAACCTGTTGCGCTCCAAAAGTACATTTTGCTGGGTTGATTCGAACACCATATTCATCCAATCGAGTGAATAATTGTCTCAGGTGCTCCTTATGTTCCTCAACTGAAGCTGATGCTATAATGATATCATCTATATAGGCGTAGCAGAAGTCTAATCCATGAAGTACCTCGTTGATAAAGCGTTGAAAAGTTTGTGCGGCGTTGCGAAGCCCAAAAGGCATGAAGCAATATTCGAAGAGGCCGAATGGAGTTGTGATTGCTGTTTTTGGAATGTCTTCTGGATTCATAGGTATTTGATTATACGCTCGAACCAAGTCTATTGTCGTGTAGATCCGCTTCCCATACAAAGAGTGTGAAAAATCTTCTATATGTGGAATTGGGTAACGATCTGGAACTGTCCGCGTATTTAGTCTACGATAATCTCCGCAAGGTCTCCAGGCTCCCTCTTTTTTAGGTACCATGTGAAGCGGTGCTGACCAAGGACTTTTTGAAGGTCGAATGACTCCTTCTTGTAATAGCAAATCAAACTCTGCTTTAGCTGCTTTAAGTCTGTCTGGTGCGAGACGTCGTGGTCGACAAGCTTCTGGCTGACCTGATGTTGTCTTGATGTAATGTAATGTACTATGCTTGATTTCCCTGTGATTTCCAGGTGGTTGCGTTATTTTCGGAAATTCTGCCAGAACTTTGTGAAATGTTGATTCACCATAAACTGTTTTTATGGAGAAAATTCCACTAGAATTGACCACTCCTGGAGTTGAAAATCCTGTCTTTCCATCAAGTAGTTTTTGTTCTCTTACATCTGGAAGCAAATGATACTTTGACAAGAAATCTGATCCTATAATTGGTTGATCAACATTGGCGATGATGAATCTCCACGGAAATGTCCTTCTTAATCCGAAGTCTGGTTGAAGTGTTTTCATTCCGTACGTTGCTATTGCTGAACCATTGGCTGCAAATAACTGATACTGCTGTGCCGGTAATTGTTCTTGTACCATGGAGAGTGGGAAGACGCTAACATCTGAGCCGGTATCTATCAGGAATCTGACTTTTAAAGTGCGGTCCATCATAAATAAGCGACATGGTTTAGGGCCTTCGTCACTTGTCGCCATTAATGACTGCCCTCCGAGTTTTTTGTTGTTTTGAAAGAGCAGGGTTGAGTACATTTTCGTGCTTCTTCTTTGAATCGGCGATGGTAGTAGCATATACCCTCTTTTTGATTGGATTTTTCTTGTTTGAAACGACTTCTTGATCGTTGACTTCTTGATCGATTTGAGCGAAGTACTTTTGTCATCTGCGTTGAAAGTGCCGCAACCTGCTTAGTGAGTGTTAAAATCTTCTCCTCCAAAGCATTCTGCGTAGATTCAGCAGAAGGTACTGAAGTTGCAAGTACGAGTGCCTTACTATTATTCACTTCGTGTATTCGATCTGCTTGCTCTGCGATATCTTCTAATCTGTCCTCACTTCTCGTTGCTAAAATTGCCTGCATTTGAGAAGGAAGTCGTCCAAGCCATAGCGTGCGAAGGAGTTCTTTTGAAACAGCTGTGCCTGCCAACGTGCTAAGGTGTCGCAAGAACTGAGATGGTTTTCGGTCACCAAGTTCTTCTCGTTCCAGCAACTGACGAATCCGCTGATTTTGAGAGTCAGTAAGCCTTTGAATCAACGCCTTTTTCAATGCCACATATTTCGAGTGAGTTGGAGGTTGTGTGATGATGTCTTTAATTTCCCTCGCTTGTTTTGGTTCAATTCGTGAAAGAGCGTAGGCGAACTTTGCGTTGTCATCAGTAACTTTACAGAGAGCGAATTGTCCCTCAAGCTGCATGAACCAAATCTCCGGTTCCTCTGGCCAAAAGGGGGGAATCCTGACTGTTAACCTTGTTTGATTCTCGTCTTCTTCCTCGGCGGTTTGTGCACTGCCAGACGCCTTCGGCATGTTGTTCGTATTGATTTCTACGTTGGAATCTTCAACTTCGATGAACTCGTCCTGATCAGAGTCTTTGCCGTGTTTGGAGTTAATTCCTCCTATTTTCAGACGTCGGGGTCACCAAATGAAGGGATTATAGTAGCGTGTTCGTTTTTTATAATTTATTTAACTTTCTATAAATTCGTTGGTCCTGAAAAGGACCGTTTTTATGTTTACAATTTATGTGGCCCTGAAAAGGGCCGTTTATGTCAAAAACTATATAATTCGTTCTCTATAAGAGATTGTCGGTCTTGTCTGAGTATATTTCTTAGGTCCCCAGAGTCTTCTGCGTGAAAGATCAAGTGAGTAGGATCCAGGAGGCGAGTCTGGTGGTGTGTAGCTTGTTGGTGATCCTGGTGGTGTGTAGCTGGCTGGTGATCCTG